CAAATCAGTTGAACGATGGAAAATTTATGAGCTATACACCAATCACTGTTTTCCATGGATTATAAACTGCCCTAGAATTTGCACTGTGGTAAAAACTGAATTGTAGGTAGCCTGCTGATACAAATGTTTATGAAGCGAACCGAATCCGCAGTCTTACTAACCATGGTTAGATCTTACAGCTCCATTCCGGAGATCTAAGGCCTCAAAAAAGTTCAATCTAAAAACATAATTCAGAAATCCAACGAAACAAAACAGACAGCCAATCTCTTAAACAAAGGATATTTGACAAAACATTTATGCGTTTTTGGAAAACAAAAAATTCAAATCAGGATTCCGCTAAAAAAAAAAAAGCTCAAGAATGGATTTTTGGAGTTGGAGAAAGACAAAGTTTGGTATAAAGACTACCCAAGAACCAATAAAAACAGTGCACGGGAATATGCCTCCGGCTACTCAAAATCTTGGCAGATTTTTCCAAGAAAAGTGGGTCTGTCTGTCATGACTTCCATTAACCATTAACAAAACATACGCCTTGATTTCAAAAAAAAGAAAACAGTGGATGGTCAACTCACTGAAAGAAGGATCTTTCTTGATACATGTCTCGCAGTCTTCTAGTGCTCGTTGAAAATCCATCAATTTTGTGAAGCACGCCGCTCGGTTCGAATAAAGAACGGGATTTTCTGGATCGCGTTTTACAGCTTCATTATAGTGCTTCATAGCTTCCGGATACTTGCCTAGAAGCTAACCGTTTCAATTTCGTTTCAAAGCAGCAAACCCTGGTGAACGAGGAGGGGATCGAGAGAGAGAATAAGTGCAAAATGTAAAGCTAAATATGTCAGGCGTATTCTAAAAGCATCAGACTTTCTTCGTTTTAGCTTAGCTTATGAAATCCAACACACAGTAGCTTTAAACAGCAATGTAAAAAAAACACACACACACGATCAGAGTTGTCGCAAAATTAATATTTCAGTTTCTACCGTCGAAGGAAATTCCAGCAAAATACTAGGAAAGGGTGGGTGGGGATTTTGGTACCATAACTGTATCCGCTCCGGATGAATTGTGATCCTACAAACAAATGTCCTAGGGCGAGCTAGCAAAAATATCACTCAAAAGACATAATTCTCGGAAGAGTTTCGAAGCCTCCAACTGCAACATCACCACGAAAGCCTCCAACTGCCTAAATTAACTGAACAATCGCACCGATACTGAGCATTATTCATAATCTACGCTTTGAGCTGGCCTGAGATACATGGACACAACAGTTAATG